TCCTTTTTTATAAAAGAATTAGTTTTAGAATTTTGAAAGGAAATCGTGTAAGAATTGAATCATCATCGAATCCGTATCGATGTCAAATTAAATTTCCCCCCCCCCACTTCCCCCGGGTTTTCCTCGATTCGCGTTTAATTAAATTATTTTATGATTTGTTAACAATGACAGAAATTTATTTGATATTATTATTATTATCATTATTATTATTATTCGACAATCACGATTAAAAAAGGTTCGTTTACAAAAAAAAAAAAAAAGAAAGAAATCGAGTTTTGTCGTCGCTTCCGGTTGAAAAGAATTTGATTTAAATAGAAATTTTTTTTTTTTCCCTTTAAATTGAAATACTAAATTATTATTATCATTATTATTATTATTGTCATTGCTTAGTTTTATTCTATATTAATTTAACGGTGACGAAATAATCAAGGTTTGTCATGCCCAAGACAATCTCGGCCTTCTATCGGGGAAAAATAAAATAAAATAAAATAAAAGAACGAAAACCTTGAATAATTGTTATAAATTAGTATTATTATTGTTATTATTATTATTATTAATTTGTTTTCGTTGTCGTCGTCGTCGTCGTCGTCGTTGTTGTTGTTGTCGTTGTCGTTGTTTTGTTATTGTTTGTGTTTTACGATGTAATTTATTATTAGAGACAAAGGAAAATATCTCGAATATATCGATGATGCATTCAAATATGCGAGTACGTTTGTTTGTTTGTTTGTTTGTTTCGAGCAGACGAAATTGGCGAATGTGATGATGTGTGGTGAGTGCGCGCGCGTGTGTTGTGTGTGCTCCCGTTTGTCTTTGTCTTTGTGAGTCGAAAATAAAAAAAAAAAAAAAAAAAAGGAAAAACTCTTTGACATTTCATGATGTTTGCTGCATACGACGTGATTTTAAAAAATTTAAAGGTAAAAAAATGTCTTTTCTTTTATTATTATTATTATCATTATTATTATTATTAGTATTATTATTATTTCCCCATTTCCCTACTGACAAAGTGACGATGAATAAACTCTCCGTGTTGTTTGTTTGTTTGTTTGTTTTTTTTTTTTCACTTTCTCTCTCTTTCTCTCTCTCCCCCTGTCTTTGTTTTTTCGTCATCTTCCGTTAATATTTTCGAGAGCTCGAATGACTGAATGAATGATTGAATGACTGAATGAACGAATGAATGAATGAATGAATGAAAGCTTGTAAATCGTTTGTCGTTGTTTTTCTTCGTTTTTTTTTTTTTTTTTTTTTTTTTTTTTTTTTTTTTAAACGAAAAAATCCGTATCGGTGATGACGTAACGGTTTAATTTTTTTTCTTTTTTTTTTTACGAGGGGGATTTTAATTTCCCCCATAAAACAAACCTTAAAAGGTAAAAATAGTAATAATAATAATAATAATAAAGAAGAAGATTATTTTTGAAATTTAAGATTCGGACAATGTTCGCGAAATCATTTCTTTTTTTTTTTTTTTTTTGGGGGGGAGTTTTTGACTTTTTACCTTTGTTGATTGTCTAAAAAATAAAATCGCCATTTTGTTTTTTATTCACACCTAACTTGGTCTTACCCACTACTACTGTCCTCTGTTTATTTTCTATCTTTGTAATGACGTCATAAAGTTTTTACGCTGCTCGTGCGAAACCGGTTTCTTAATAATATTGTTCGGTTTCCGGAAAAGCGAAAAAAGAGAAATGGAGGAAAGGGGAAAGGAGAGGAGGTGTTGTCGTAAAAGCGAAGCAAACGAAGAAGGGGGAGGGAAAGAAAAAGAAAAAAGGCACAAAAAAAAGATATTAAATTGTTTTTTTTTCCATTTTTAATAAACTTTTTATTTTTTTAATTTAAAAAAAGAAAAAAAGAAAAATGAGAAATAAAAATACATTTATGAAAAGTTTGAAAAGTTTATTAAACGATTACTTCCGCTTTTTAATTTTTCACTGAATTATTATTATAATTATTATTATTATTAAGAAAAACGCTACGAATTTTATATAAATACAATATATATATGTATTTTTTGTTATTAATCGTTGAGAATAATCGTGGTTAAATAATGATAGATTTGTAATTTTTCTAATGACACGTCACAAAAAATTGTATTATTATTATTATTATTATTATTATTATTATTATTATTAATTTTAAACTAAGTTTTGAGTTTTTAGTCAAAGTTTTCTTATCGGAATTTATTTCGAGTTTTAACAAAACTCCCCACAGGCATTTCGATTTTCGAATGTCTTCGAGGGGGGTTGGGTGAGGGGTGGGGGCGGAGCGGCCCTTTCATTTAAAATATTTTTTTTTTTTTTTTCCGGTTAAAACTCGAACCATTTGCACGTGGCACTTGACGACGAACATTTTCACGATTTAAAATTTGTTATTTCCGTTTTCCGTTTCTTTTTTTTCTTTTCATCCGAACTATTTCCGGCTTTGAATTTCCTGCGGATTCAGCCATTTTTTTTTTTTTTTTTTTTTTTTTTTGCTTATTCGGCTCTCTTCTGTAGTGTAAAAAAAATGGCGTTTAATTTATTTAAATTCGAAGTGAATAATTAACTTTTTTTTTTTTTTTTTCTTTTGACGAGATGAAATTTTCGTGACGTTTTTCGGTCGTTACAAATGAATAAAAAAGACGGCGAGCCGAAAAATGTCAAATTCATATAATGAGGAACGTCGGGGGAGAGGGAGAGGGGAGGAAGAAAAAAAGAAACGAGATGAGAGGAGGGAGGAGGGGATGAATGGAAGGAAAAGCGAGTGTAAAAAAAAAAACAAAAAAAATTACAGATATCAATTTAACGAATTTTCCATTTTTTGATTTTTCTTTTTCTTTTCTTTTTGTTATTTATTCTTTCTCGTTTTAATTAAAAAAAAAAAAATTTATTTAAAGTTTTTTTTTTTCTCTTCTTTTACTCCTCCGCGCACCCACGCACTTTATTTTATTTGATTATTATTATTATTATTTTTTAAAATGAAAATTGCCGAATGATTTGAAAAATAAATAAATAAATAAATAAAAATAAAAATTTTTTTCTGCATTTCATTCGTCGGGAAAACAAAAACGAGAAAATTTTTGTTTGTTTTATGAACGGAATAAAAATGACGAAATAGAGGGAGGGGGGAAGAAAAAACTCTTGGAAAATTTATTGGGAAGAAAAAAATTTTCTCCTGGAGGGAAAATGAAAAAAAAAAAAAAAAAACAAACAAACAATCTCGGCAACAGGAAAAATTTTCACCTGTGTCGCACGTTTCTCTCTCTTTTTCTTATTCTCTCTCTCTTTCTATCTCTCTCATTCTCTCTCTCTTTCTCTCTGTTTCTATGTCTCTTTTATCTACTGCCACTTTATTCACGAATCGATGCCTTTTGTTAAATAGTAGTACCTTTAGGTCTAGAAATTTTTTTCATTTTGTAGAGGAAGGAAAACACAAACACAGGAAGGGAAGAAGAGGGAGATGGAGGAAGGGGGAAAAAAGGTTGATTTTAATTAAAAAGAAAAACAATTTAAAGTTATTTTCATTTAAAATAAATTATTTTAATTACGTCTGCCGTCATTTATTTATTTATTTTTTTTTTTCATCTCTTGCAAATGCGAAAAAAAAAATTTGATAAATACGAACGTTTTTACACGAGAATGAATGAATGAACGAATGAATGAATGAATGAATGAATGAAATGGAAAAATTTTTTGTTTTTTTTTTTTTTAGTAGCAGCAGCAGCAGACAGAAGAAAATGTCTCGTTTAAATTGTTGTGGTTTTTTTTTTTTGTTTTTCCTTTTTGTGATTAAAATTTAATTAGCGATCGATTTTGTTTACTTTTTTTTTTTTTTTTTTCCTCGGGGAGCCTCTAAAACGATAATTTTCTAACGTTTATTATTATTATTATTATTATTATTTTTTTTTTTTTTTTTAAAAAAATGATTCTCGTTAATTAATTCCCAGTCATTTTTTTTTAAAGGTTTCCCCCCCTCCTTTACATTTTAATTTATTATTATTTGATTTAAAAAAAAAAAAATTTAAAGAGGTTTTAATTTTCTTTCCCCCCTCCCCCTCCGTTTTTCGGGTTTTTAATTAAATTTTTATTGGTTGTTGTTGTTGTTGTTGTTATTTCTTCATTGTTATTATTTTGGGGGATGTAAAAAAAAAAAAATTCGTCTCTCGAGTAGTTTCTATTTAATTAATTTTTAGTCGGATAAATAAATAAATAAAAAAAAGGTGTGGGAAGACTCTGGGAAATTTTTTCAATTTTCCGGTCATTTTCCACCGGGATTTCTTCGATTTCGAAAATAATAATAATAATGATGATAATGAATGTTATTAAATTTTACTGAGCAGGAAGGAAAATCCGGGTTACAACGAATATTTAAAATTTTTTTTTTTTTGGGCAGGGGTACCTGAAAAACTGACATTTTTTTTACTAACTGTGATGGAATGACGTCATCGTGTGTATAATTTTTCTCTAATTATTAAAACTGATTCATATTGTTTAAAATCAATGAACGGAAAAATGTTTGTTTGATTAAATAACGTCATAACGGATTGAAATAAAAAATTTCTCATCATGTTTTTCAACCACGACCTCTCTGATAATGTATCCTATTAGGTTAGAAAATGTAAACAATCGCACAACGCGGTATTGACGTCATCGACGAAAACGTGAATTGAATTTTTTTGAAATTTTAAAATTGTTTGTTTGTTTATTTATTTACCGAAGAGAGAGAGAGAGAGAGAGAAATTGAAGAGGGGGGGTGAAGTGTAGGGGGGAAAATCGTAATCGATTCGAGGGGTATCCAAAGGTTAGTTCATAGAATAATAATATAAATATCGTAATTTCAGAATTTGTTTTATGCGCGCGACAAAATTTTGAAATTGTTGCGACAAAAATCCGAATTTTTCATTTCTTTTTTTAACGGATTACGAATAGACGTTAGTCTTGTTATTTTAATCTTTGCTGTTGCTGTTGTTTGAAAATGTTTTTTTTTTTTTTTTTTTCATTAAAATTGTTGTCGCATTGTGACAAATGATGTTTTTTTGTATAATAGACGAAATATTTTCACTGTTTCAGAATCACAGTACCCATATCGAAGTAGACAATGAGGGAAAGCATCGGAAAAATAGTAATTCACACGAAATCGAATTGGTCGAGGTGACAAGAGAGGGACACGAACGAGCCGATCCAGGTCAGTTCGAGTTGCTTAAAGTTCTCGGTCAAGGTTCGTTTGGAAAAGTCTTCCTAGTCCGAAAAGTAGTCGGTAAAGATAAGGGAGTCCTGTACGCCATGAAGGTACGTTCGAGATTTTATCAAATCTCGATGTGATTGATCTTTCATTGAATTATCGTTGTGACCCTTGTTGTTGTTGTTTTGTTTTGTAAAAAGGTATTAAAAAAGGCGACGTTGAAAGTGAGGGATAGGGAAAGAACGAAAATGGAGAGAAATATTCTAGTCGACGTTCGGCATCCATTCATTGTCCGATTGTTTTACGCTTT